AACGCGGGCACGGACACCTATATCACACCTCTCACACACTAACACCTCTCTTACCTCCACCCTGCAGGAGCTGTTCCCACCGGTCAGCATCGGTAACGCAGGCACGGACACCTATATCACACCTCTCACACACTAACACCTCTCTTACCTCCACCCTGCAGGAGCTGTTCCCACCGGTCAGCATCGGTAACGCGGGCACGGACACCTATATCACACCTTCTCACACACTAACACCTCTCTTACCTCCACCACCTGCAGGCAAGCCTGTTAACACCGCGTCAGCCCATCGGTAACGGCAGCACGGACACCTAAAATATCACACCTCTACACACTATACACCTCTCACACACTAACACCTCCTCTTTACCTCCACCCTGCAGCCGAGCTGTTTTTTTTTCTTCCCACCGGTCAGCATCGTAACGCCAGGCACGCGAACACCTATATCACACTCTCACACACTAAACACCTCTCTTACCTCCACCACCTGCACGGAGACCTTGTTACCACCGTCAGCATCGGTAAACGCAGCGCACGGCGACACCTATATCCACCTCTCACACACTAACACCTCTCACCACACTAACAACCTCTCTACCTCCACCCTGCAGCGAACTGCTTGACACGGTCAGCATCGGAAACGCAGGCACGCGACACCTATATCACACTCTCACACACTAACACGCTCTCTTACCTCTTACCCTGCCAGGAGCTGCTTCCACGATCAGCATCGGGTAACGCGGCACGTGACACCTATATCACACTCTCACACACTAACACCTCTCACACAACTAACACCGTCTCTTACCTCCACGCCTGCCAGGCAGCTGTTACAGCGGTCAGCTATCGGTAACGCAGGCACGACACGCTTATATCACACTCATCACACACTAACACTCTCTCTTACCTCTACCACCTGCATGAGCGTTACCACGGGTCAGCATCTGTAACGCAGGCACCGATCACCTTATATCACACCCTCTCACACACTAACACCTCTTTAACCTCTAACCCTGGCCAGGCAGCTGTTCCCACGCCGTCAGCCATCGGTAAACGCGGGCAACGCGACACCATATCACACCTCTCACACACTAAGCACCTCTCTTACCTCCACCTGCCAGCGAACTGTTCCCACCGCGTCAGCATCCGTAACGCGGGGCACGGACACCGTATATCACGAACCTCTCACACACTAACACTCTCTCACACACTAAAGCCTCTCTTACCTCCACCCTGCACTGAGCTGCTTCCACCGTTCGCAGCCATCGGGTAACGCAGCGCACGCGACACCTATATCACACCTCTCACACACTAACACCTCTCACACACTAACACCTTCTCTTACCTTCCACTCACCTGCAGCGAGCTGCTTCCCACGGTCAGCATCCGGTAACGCGCGGCACGGACACCTATATCACACCTCGCACACACTAACACCTCTCTTACTCCACCCTGGGCAGGTAGCTCTCCCACCGGTCAGCATCGGATAACGCAGCTACGGACACCTATATCACACCTTCTCACACACTAACACCTCTCTTACCTTCCACTCCTGCCAGGAGCTGTTCTCCACCGGTCAGCCATCGGGCAAACGCAGGCGACGGACACCTACTCATCACACCTCTCACACACTAACACCTCTCTTACCTCCGACCCTGCAGCAGCTGTTCCCACCGGTCAGCATCGGCTAACGCCAGGCACGGACACCTATATCACACCCTCCTCACACACTTAACAACCTCTCTTAACCTCCACCCTGAGGAAGCTGTTCCCACCGCAGTCAGCATCGGGTAACGCTAGCACGGACAATCCTATATCACACCGTCTCACACTACTAACATCCTCTCTTACCTTCTACCTGCAGGAGCTGTTCCCACCGGTCAGCATGCGCGACTAACGCAGGCTACGCCGACACCTTATTATCACACCCTCTCATCACACTAATCAGCCTCTCACACACTAAACCTCGCTTACCTCCACCCTACAGGAGCCTGTTCCACCGGTCAGCCCATCGTTAACGCCCAGGCACGGACACCTTATATCACACCTCTCACACACTAACACCTCTTTGTTACCTCCACCCTGCAGGAGCTGTTCCCACCGGTCAGCATCGATAACGCTCGCGGGCACGGACATCTCGACTGCCGTCAGCGGGCGTCTACGTGCATTGAAACCTTCTCAAGTTCTTTCCCCAGGTAACTCGAACGACGCCACTCTCCGCCACCCAAGCCTGCCTCTTACCGCCCCCCGGTGGCGTGCGTGAACCTGCTCAAGCTTTGCCACGAAGCTCAGCTGATGCCCGACGCCGGCGCCCCCCGGTGGCGTGCGTGAACCTGCTCAAGCTTTGCCACGAAGCTCAGCTGATGCGGCGCCCCCTGGTGGGAGACAACGGCGCGAGGATTTCGTCATCATGGGAGGAGGGGGGGGGGTTTCTTCGTGAGAGGAGAGTGGGGGGGAGGAGTTGTCGTGAGTTGCGTGTTTGTGAGCGTGAGTTGTGCGTGGTTGTGGATGTGTGTGGCCGGGGGGGGGGGAGTCGGGGGGGGGGGCGGTGCGAGTGGACGTGAGGGTGAGGCTTGAGAAGGCTTTATCGATAGATCCTACGAGATGGTGTTCACGCGAGAAGCATACGTTTTTCGCCCCGAAATCGACTCTGATTGTAAACTCTGATTATAAACTTGGATTGTAGACTTGGATTGACTTGCCGGTTGTGGCAGAAGCAGCAGCGAGGGAGTGTAGAGAGGGAGAGGGGGGAAACGAAGGATGCGGGAAAGCTTTTGACTGAAGATTGATTGATTTGAAGTCGAGCCTTACTTGAGTTTACGGTACTCGGTATGTTGGCGTGCGCTCTGTTAGGCAACGCCCCCTAGTGGGCCGTGAGCTTAAATGTCCATCAAACCAGAGCTTCTAATAGAAATAATAATAATAAAGGGAAAACTGCGAGGCGGTGGCATCTGTGGATGGGTAATCTATCCAATGCTGTCAAGAGCGTATTAAGTATGCTTATCACGTAATGAGTATTAAGCATACTTAATACGCTTCTGATGTCGTGCAATTTGGGTGCGAGCCCCCGCCTCGTAGACACAATAAGGTGCCATTTATATTTTATTAATATTATACCGTATTAAATTATTCAGCAGTCTGTATCGGCAGTTAGGGCCGATGTGTTGAAACCACCGAGTGGAGTTGTCAGCGACGGAAGATACGGCTTTTACATGTCATAGACGATCCGTCTTTATTCAGAAACGTGCAATTTTCGAGAGCGTCTCGAAATTCGCCCCGTTAAAAGCACACGAGGGATCCTTTTCTTGTTGTATGTGTGTGCGACGCGAGCGTAGCGCCATTTTATATCCGTTTCGCTTGTAAACTCGGAATAATTGAGTCGAAAATTCGAAATGGCGGCGCTGAGGGGTTCCTGAAGATGACCACCTCTTCTGTGGACCGCCGACCGCTGTCTTATATGTAAAAGTGCGTGCAGAAAACTGGAATTTTTGCGCTCGCTTGTGTCGCAACAAAAAAATGTTTCACATTTCATGGTTTATGCACGTTAACCGTGTATTGTTAATGCACCTCCCGTAGCCTTCAATATATACATATATATATATATATATACATATGTATATACATATATATATCTATATACATATGTGTGTGCATATATATATATATATATATATAACCTATGCCTTCTTCTTGTTGTGTGAGAGGCCGAGAGCGAAAGAGAGATCATAAATATAATTTGTCAAGCCTGTTGGTAATGTGGTGTACATCTGCGCGTATAATATTGTATAATATTGTATTATATTGTATTATATTGTATTAAGTCCAGATATACGCGTATGAGTGTATGCGTCCGCGTTTATCGCATAGAATGTTGTATTATAGAGTGCGAGATACTAGCGTATTACAGAGAGGAGAGCAAAGAGAGGACAACAGCGAGAAAGAGAGAAAGAGGGCCAGAGCGAGTGAGAGAGAGGGGGGAGAGCGCGAGAAAGAAAGAGAGCACAAGAGAGAGAAAGCGTGGGGTGAAAGAAAGGCGCGAGAGTGAGTTGAGAGAGAGAGGAGAGAGAGAGAAGGCGAGAGAGAGAGAGAGAAGAGGAGAGAGAGAGAGAGTGAGAGAGAGAAAGTGTGAATAATTAATGAGAGAAAAGAGAGATCATTAAATTCAAAATTGTGCAAGTTCACGCGTAATGTGCTCATTTGCTTTTGTGTTTTGTGCTTTTATCTGGCCATGTATAATTGTGTATTATATATTATCAGGAGTCTATCAATATGATATTATTCCACGTATTGTATATAAGTCCACGCGCATAGCGTATGAGTATGTGTCTCGCGCTTTGTAGTCATAGCCTTGTTTTGCGTGTGTAATCAGTTCGTTATCGCTGTTGATTTACAGTCTCGTTTTTATTATAAGTCCACGCGCATGCGCACTCGCGTGCGCTTTTTCCAAAACTTGTGGAATTTTTTTCTAAATAAAAAATGTATCCGAAGCATACCGCCTCTAGCAAGGTTCCTTATCCGTGTAATGTTTTCATATAAGCAAGTGCACGACACTCTTTTTTAAATCGGCTATAATGTTTCAGTAAAAAGGTAATGTCTAGACACTACTTTGCCGTGGAACCCGTGTGCAGGGAAGAAGCACGGGACGGACGCTACCCACTTACTAACGATCTATCGCCACAGGGCTATACGGCGCCCGCATAAGAAAAACGACATTTCTTATATACGGATAAATCACAAGTTGGAAAAACATTTTGCAAAAATTACGGAGCATTCGAAGTACGCATAATTTTCCAACCTATTATGCTTTACAATCTATGCTATCCAGGCAAGGCTCTAACGCTCGTGAGCAAAGTGTCTGATTATTACATTTATCTTATATTCACAATAAGAAAACATTGTAGCAAAGAATTTAGCGGGAGGTTTCGAACACCAGCAGTTTTAGTCTTGCACTCGCAGCCGCTCACGCACTACGCTATCCGTACAGCTTAAGTTATACAATACTAGAGGGCCATAATGGTATCCTGCAACCTGGAGAAGTACCTGTGGTACATACGGATGCAAAATAAATATTTCTTTACCCATCTATATGATATATTATACAAGAAAGTACGTAGATAGGTACCGCACAGGTTCGGAAAT